ATATATATATATATATATATATATATATATATATATAAAGGTGTTTTAAACCCTTCATACACTTTTGCAATATTCTAAACAATGTTTCTAAACTCTAAATGCTCTAAAAAAGCACAGCATGTCATGTTTTCAGCTCCCTGCCTCCTCTGCTCTTTGCCACCTGCAAGCGTTCTTGACCACGCCCACTTCTCCGCTCTGCACAAGAACAGCTAAGCAGCTGCAGCAGGAAGTTTATCCTGCAGCAGTGTGGGCTGCACAAAGGTGCAGGAGGTGTTAAATAATTTATTTTAAATAAATATTCCATGCAGATCATGCGGCTCATCCATCAATAAACCAATTGTGTGTCATGTCCAATCTTATTTTGAAAACCCGCCATACAGCGAATCCGCAATGAACTGCGAAGTATCAATGAACTACTGTATTTTATTAACTATGCACCGTTAGCATCTTTTGAAATGGGGTTATTTGCAACAGTTTAATTTTGACTTCAGTGATGAGCTAAAAATTAGTCCAAGTAGATCCAAGAATAAAGTGAACTGTTGCCATTTTAAAACAACTCCAATCTTTAAAATTTCACAGTGGTTCATGCGAACACTAATTTTAACCTTTTACAATGCTATCAATTTTGGATTTTCTAATTTCTTGTACTATTTTGCTTACAAATGTTACATAAATCCCTGTAAAATATGAGAAAAGAAAAATGGTCATAAAATGGTTATAAAAACAACATGCGTGCATGGAGTTTTGAAATGGGAGTCATTTTATAACAGCAGCACTTTTGTTTTGACACCTCCCAGACTAGCTGTTAGCTTGTCATTCTGATAAGAATTAGACTGTCTTTATTACTCTGGATGTACTTTATTGTTTTTTTTCTTCTAAACTAGACATGAGGACATTCAAAGAGCTATCTACAAGAGGTAAGATATTATTTGTTCATAACTTTTCTTTACAAAACTTTATTTCAGATTACTGAAGAGCTGAAACATGAAACAAAAGGCATAAATGAAAATGTATTAATGTATACATCAGCCCAGTAATAACAAATAAGTATTTTTGCATTTTTCTGATTACAGGTCCTTCTCAAAAAATTAGCATATTGTGATAAAGGTCATTATTTTCCATAATGTAATGATAAAAAATGCAACTTTCATATATTTCAGATTCATTGCACACCAACTGAAATATTTCAGGTCTTTAATTGTTTTAATACTGATGATTATGGCATACAGCTCACGAAAACCCAAAATGCCTGTCCCAAAAAATTAGCATATTTCATCCCACCAATGAAAGACAAGTGTTTTTAATACAAAAAACGCCAACCTTCAAATAATCATGTTCAGTTATGCACTCAATACTTGGTCGGGAATCCTTTGCATGAATGACTGCTTCAATGCGGCATGGCATGGAGGCAATCAGCCTGTGGCACTGCTGAGGTGTTATGAAGGTCCAGGATGCTTCAAAAGCGGTCTTAAGCTCATCCAGAGTGTTGGGTCTTGCGTCTCTCAACTTTCTCTTCACAATATCCCACAGGTTTTCTATGGGGTTCAGGTCAGGAGAGTTGGCAGGCCAATTGAGCACAGTAATACCATGGTCAGTAAACTATTTACCAGTGGTTTTGGCACTGTGAGCATGGTGGTCATGCTGAAAAATGAAATCTTCATCTCCATAAAGCTTTTCAGCAGATGGAAGCATGAAGTGCTCCAAAATCTCCTGATAGCTAGCTGCATTGACCCTGCCCTTGATAAAGCACAGTGGACCAACACCAGCAGCTGACATGCACCCCAGACCATCACTGACTGTGGATGCTTCACACTGGACTTCTGGCATTTTGGCATTTCCTTCTCCCCAGTCTTCCTCCAGACTCTGGCACCTTGATTTCCGAATGACATGCAAAATTTGCTTTCATCCGAAAAAAGTACTTTGGACCACTGAGCAACAGTCCAGTGCTGCTTCTTTGTAGCCCAGGTCAGGCGCTTCTGCCGCTGTTTCTGGTTCAAAAGTGGCTTGACCTGGGGAATGCGGCACCTGTAGCCCATTTCCTGCACACGCCTGTGCACGGTGGCTCTGGATGTTTCTACTCCAGACTCAGTGCACTGCTTCCGCAGGTCCCCCAATGTCTGGAATCGGCCCTTCTCCACAATCCTCCTCAGGGTCCGGTCACTTCTTCTCGTTGTGCAGCGTTTTCTGCCACACTTTTCCCTTCCCACAGACTTTCCACTGAGGTGCCTTGATACAGCACTCTGGGAACAGCCTATTCATTCAGCAATTTCTTTCTGTGTCTTACCCTCTTGCTTGAGGGTGTCAATGATGGCCTTCTGGACAGCAGTCAGGTCGGCAGTCTTACCCATGATTGCGGTGTTGAGTAATGAACAAGGCTGGGAGTTTTTAAAAGCCTCAGGAATCTTTTGCAGGTGTTTAGAGTTACGTCGTTGATTCAGATGGTTAGGTTAATACCTTGTTTAAACAACCTTTTCATGATATGCTAATTTTTTGGGACAGGTATTTTGGGTTTTCATGAGCTGTATGCCATAATCATCAGTATTAAAACAATTAAAGACCTGAAATATTTCAGTTGGTGTGTAATGAATCTGAAATATATGAAAGTTTCATTTTTATCATTACATTATGGAAAATAATGACCTTTATCACAATATGCTAATTTTTTGAGAAGGACCTGTATTTTTATCAAATCCCATATGGCTAGTTAAGGCAGCTTTATTTGTTAAGCACATTTCAGCAACAGGACAACTCAAAGTGCTTTAAATAAACATTATGCTTTACACACAAATATGGTGGAAAATGGCATTAAAAGTTTAAAGAATAGATCTTGCTTTTTTAAGTGCATATAATTATTTTGAATCCTATTAAATACATCCTTAAGTGTTTAAATTCAAAGCTAAGATAGCTCTGTTTGATATTTTAGAGAGAAAACATGAAAATAGACAAATATTGACATACCAATACTAACATATGTTTGTTGGGTAATAAAGTACATGTGCATATTAATATTGCTTTAAAAGCACATTGAGCTACTTTTTTAACTGGCAAAACCTAGACAACTGGCTCAGTTTAAATCTGGAGATCAGAGAAGATGTAAGGTGCAAAGAATGTGAACAACCCTTTACTCTTCAAAAACATGAAGCCTTTTGGTACCCAAAAGAGAAGTCGTTCTTTTCTGCCCCATTGAAGCTGCTCAGTGGTCAACGGCAGATCACCCTGGTTGTAGTGGGCAGCTCCCCGATGTGTACATTTTGAAAAGTACTCTCACAAATATGTACATAATGTGTGTGGCTATGTGTAATTATGTGTGTGCGTTACCCTATGGGCTGCATGTTTCACGTGTGAAAGCTATGTGACAGGTATGCGCTTAGGGCAAGTCACAGGAGAATTTCTGCAGGGAAATGGTTAAAGGTTAGATCATACTTTATTGCTGGCTCTTTCTTTTTTTTCTGTCTCCATTTTTATTTTCTCTTCTATCAACCTAAGTTGTTTTAGCAGCTTCACAATGAAAAATACTGACCACTTGTTGAAAACATTCCTGCATTTATGTGAATGACGATGCATGCATCTATACATTGGGAAATGTCATTTTGCATCCCTTTTTCTTCCTCTTCTTCTTATGGCTGTTCCTTCTACAGGGAACTGCCAGACCCCCTTCAGGGGTCCCCACAGCAAGTCATCCTCCTCCATCTCACTTAGGCTTCTGCGTCCTCTGTACTCACCCAAACTACCTAAAGTACATCCTCTCTAATTGCATCCAAGTCCCATCTGTCATAAAACTTAATATATTGTTTGTGTGTAAATGGTATCCATGCAGAAATGGCACAGTGCCACAGTTGGTGAAGCTGTCGCCTCTCAGCAAGAAGGTTGCTGGTTCGAATATCGGTCAGGGACTTTTCTAGGTGGAATTTGCATGTTCTCTCTGTGAATGTGTGGGCCTTCTCTGGGTACTCCAATTTCCTCCCACAGACCAAAAACATGCATGTTAGGTTAACTAGTAACTTTAAACTGTCCCTAGATGTGAGTGAAAGAGTGAATGATGAATTTGCGACCTGTCCAGGGTGTCCCCTGCTTCTCACACAGTGACTGCTGAACATGGGCTCCAGTGACCCACGCAACCCGAAAAGGAAGAAGTGGGTAAATATAATGGATGGATGGTATCCATGCACAGGTGTATGTGTCTTTGGACAGTCCTGGGCATGTCTTACCAGAGAAAGACCCAAGTTTTGGAGCCGTCATGTCTCCTCCATCATAGATCTCTAGAGAGTCCCAGTTGTGCTCAGTTGCAAATGTCATTACTTGGATCTAAACAATAAACGAGAATAAAACAAATCCACCAATGTAGCTTTCAAGTCTGTACACATTGTCCATTTTCAGTACATGAACATTTAAACAGTACAGCTAAAGTTATAGCTGTGTATACGTATGTGTACCTGTATTCCTGCCCCTTCACTGACATGAATCCTCCACAGACAGTTTAGACCATTTGGGTAAGGTTCAGGGTAGCCAGGAGACAATATCGTTCCACGACGTTCAGTCAAATTGCCACTGCAGGGAACTAGAATGAAGACATAGAATATAAATTTCCAAGAATAATGTATTAACCAAATCGCTAGCAGTTAGAACCGGATGTCAAAATGTAGACTTGAGTGCCCGGAGGCCAACGATATGGTGTTAAAATTACTTCTACATGGAGCCGCAGAGAACAAACGTTATTTGTGCTACAAATTGATGTGACAGCTGAAGTTGTTTGCAAAATGCTAGCTTTCAGCAGTTAAAGATTTCATACTGTTGTTGGAATAACAGTCAGAATAAAAACTCTGCAACTCTAATTATCTATCACCGAATGATTACCCAGAAAGACCGATTGCTTAAGGTTATTTTTATTCTCCAATTTACGTTTGTACTTGGGTTTATGAAGACGGTGTTGATGACTGAAATTTGAGCCATGCAACGAGAAACTTGAGTCATGCAAAGAGAAAATGAACTTTGACAATTTGTTAAACAAAACGAGAACATTATAAACCTGAATGTAGTTTTATACATATTATTTCAATATTAAATTTACTCAAATATTCCACGAAGAAAACTTAATATGTCAAAATAAAAACAAACAAAAAAAGTTGCATGGCTAAATAGGAAAAAACTAGAATGGTAAGTTCTATAATTGTACGTTTAGCATTTTTCTAGCAAACCAGGCTACTCAGAGTCAGAGTCAGAGTCAGAGTTTCTTTATTGTCATTCGCACCTCATGTGGTACATGTGGTGGAGCGAAATTATGTACATGGGGTCCCAGTTACATCCAACAATAAAATGTATAAGAAAAACAGTAATAACATCTAAGAATGATACTCGAGTACTTTACAACATAATCTGTGCTGTAATTAACCCATACAAACACACATTCATACAGAACTCTACATCTCCACAAACATAATCTGAATAAATCATTTTATAGAGACAAATCAGTGCTTTAGATCACATGTATATGCTGGCATTCCAACAGCAAACAAGGGGTATTTGCAAAAGAGTAGAATTTGATGATAAAATTACTTTTGTTACATTTTTAGTTTTACTTATTAGACTTTAAAAAGTGCACATTTCTGTTGCTTGACTACAGTTTTAGAAACCAAACAAGTGCAACAGAAATTGTTGTTTAATCTTCCATGTTAACAAACAACTTTTTATGTGCTGATAATTTATTATTTGCAAACATGCAATTCACAATTTGTAAGTCAACATATTCTATTATTTCACTTTGCAACACATTATAACATTTTTATAGACAGGTTGCACATTCAAGATGGGATAACAGGATGATTTTTTTTTACTGAATCTCAACATAAAATGTAATTTACTTTCCATAAAAGAGGTCTATTCTGAATTTTTGACATACATTTATTTGTTTAAAATGACCTTATTTACTTTATAGTAGAGCTGCATTAAGACCGGTGTATTTTTGGTTTGTCATACCTATACAGGTTGGTGTTGTTGCATTCCACTGTGCCAGGGCACCAGGTATGGCCTGGCATTGAATTGCACTGGATCCTTTCAACAAATAGCCTGGACTGCACTCAAAACGAACGACAGAGCCTGCTGAGAACTCTGAACCAATCCGTCTGCCATACCGGGGCTCTGGCACTGAACTGCACTGACTGTCGCTCGTCCGAGGCACAGCTGCAGTCATGAAAGTAATAAAATTATATGAGAAGCAGAAGAAAAAAGAAACAGTACAAGAGAGAGATGTTCATGCTTGCCTTGTTGTAATGACCTTGTGTGTATACATAAAGTAAGTGGGGAAAAAAAGGGAAATACAACAGCAAATGTTGGCGAACATTACCTTGATAGACAAAATGAAAGCCTTTAGCTGACTGGCCACTCTTAGCATTGAACCGGAGCATGATCTGATTGGATGTTGCAAGTGGTAATGTCTCTCCTGTGACACAAACAGACATTAACATCCATGAAGATGACAATATTCAATTGAAGTTAATACCATAAAACAACTTAAACCTTTCTAATTTTATTAATGCGATACTTATTTATAAAAATCTTAATAAACATACACACAGTCACTTAAAAGTTCAGTATAAACACAGAGACAAACCAGACATGCTGTTCCACACTAATCACACATTTAACTATTCAAGCATTGAACTGTGCAGGTTTACTTCATAAATTTGCCCCCAGCAGGGATTCCACTTCATTTGTGACTCATGTTAAATATAGATCATGCAAAAGAGGAAAACACACTCAACACACACACCACCTCTCTGGCACAGACAAATAGACATTTATATGCAAAGATGTACACAAACAAATGAAGTAACCGCAGGAAATGAGGGACAATGTGGTGTGGTTGACATTTCAAACCTTCATTAACTGTATTAAGATTTGTGTGTGTATGTGTGTGTTTAGTAGGCATACACGTGTGTTAATTTGTTTTTGTGCAAGGGTAACAGGCACAGTTAGAAGGAACGATGTGCTACAAAACAGTTTGCCCCTGTAGGTGAGTGCGTGTTTGTATGTGCGCACACGTGACTGTGTGTACATATGCATGCATGTGTGACAGAGTACAGATACAGATAACACTGTTACATAAAGCCTGCTGTGTTTTATTCTTTTTCACTCCTAGAGTGAAAATATGAACTTCAAAGGACAAGTCATGCGTTCAACGTTATGCAAACTGGCTTCTTTCCTGAGAACTAATTTAGATGGATTGCTGTTGGAAGCAAAACAAAATGGCTTACTTTGCAGTGGCATTTATCAAACATAAAGTGGCATGTTCAAGTATAATGTACAAAAAAATCAAAAGATCTACACTGATGCATAACGTATAGAAATATGCTGTAAAAACAGTATCTTTATATCTGCCTATACACAGTGTTTACACTTACAGCAAGCACTTGTTTCAGTTAAACTCAGAAGCAAACTATAAAATTACTCAAACACTATAAACATTTTTTCTTATTAAACAGCTTTAGATTGTATGGACAAAACACAAACTTATGGCAGCAGAGCAAACATGATAGGATTCCAGATTTCCACAGAAGGAAACCTGGTGTCAGTTCCATGGGGATTTCCCTGAAGCATGCCTACTGGCAATGACACGTACAACTAACATGAAAGTAAAACTCTGAGGCGATGGCATCACTTTTTGCCAGGAGCTACGTTAATCAATATTTCTTCATTTTCATTCTTCAAATTTTGTGATGTGCATTGATTTTGCACCATCTGTCAGGTTTCATCAATTTACAGTGTGTCACCGTGCAATGACTCAAATTATTACCAAGTTTGACTGCCTGAAAGTTAGAGTTGTGTTTGTGTTCTGTATATTGCAGAGCCCCACTGAGACTCTTCCAGCTACTGATTTCTTTTTGTAAAGTTAAGCCTTAATGAATTTTTGCCAAATACATCAACGTCAAATAACCAGCGGTGCTGTGCTCCACAGCCCCAAGAGCCTATTCTTCACTGTTTCATTTTATTCACTTTTCAGATAGTTCAGGATTGAAACAAAGGAGAGGAAAAAAAAAATAAGAGAACAGGTATTTCTATAAAATAAAATATGAAATTAAGTAATAGTAAAAGAAACAGTGGTTAGAAAACTGTTTATTTCAGCGCAATCAGATGAAATCCCCCCGGCTGTATTTGTTGCTGGAAATAGTCGACGGACTCACCTGAATGTGACCCAGCCAGGGAGCTGAGCAATCGAGCATTTTCATTGGCTCCATCAAACAGCTCCACTGAGTCGTTCATTGCCGTCTGGAAAACAGCAAACTGGCCAAACACCACTAAAGAGCACATAAAAATACGTACAAAAAAAAAAGAGTCTTCATTGTTGCCATTTTTATTGCAATAGCTAAAGTAAGAACTATAACGCCATCAAAACGTACTCACCAAACTGTGAGGACACAACGATGTAATAGGAACACGTTTGTCTTGTGGTGTAATTTAAAGGATAGTTTGGAGACAAAACAACACCCTCTGATCCACCGTACTGTCCTCCGCATGGAGCTGGTGATAGAAGAAAAAAAAAAAAAATAGAACTTTTAAATAAAATACACTCTTTATGCACCATATGGAAAACCTCACTGCTTTGTTGAACGCACACCATATGGTCAAGAAACTCAGATGAACCTCTGCATGCATGTTTGACGCCAGTCCAAGAGAACAATTAGCTTCATCTACTGACTGAGATGAAGTCGATTTTAGTTTTTCCTGGTTGATTAGTTGTGGCGACTAGTCTATAATGCACATTCAATGATTTATTTTTATTTTTTTTTTTTTGCCTTTTGTTAAAATGTGTCCACTACTTCATGAGATATTTGGTTACGAGTCAGAGAAAGAAACTCATACACAATCACAGAATATTGTATTTCCACCTGTCCATGTGTCAGGAAATAATCAATATAACTTTTTTGTTAATCCACAGTCATGGCAAAACAGTAATATTCAAATGACAGAATGGTGTCCTTTTATGTTTCCCCAAGCTAATAATTTTCACAGACAAAAAAAAAAAAAAAGACAATCTGTGAATTCAACATGTGGAAACGTTTTCCCTCTAAAATAGCAGATGTGAATCTGTGCCAAGTTGTTAAATGATAAAATGTAATTAGCATCAAAGTTAACATGGTGGCAGATTTATTTTAGAATAAAAAATGAAGTACTATTAGAATAAAATGTGTGAAAAGATAAGAGAGTTGAATATAGACAGTGGTTCCCACTGAGTTCCTGTTTTGTACTGCCCTTTGCTGACTGAACTAAATAGTGTGACCTCTGCATTCGGTGACTTTGGTCTGTGTCAGGGGGTTTTCTGCTCTGGCACAAGCAATTTTCTGAATCTTCACAATGCAAGTGATCAGTGATCAAGTTCAAGTTAGTTTTATTATCATTCTCATCGCATGTGGTACATGAGGTGGAACGGAATTATGTACACAGGATCCCAAATACATCCAACAATAGCAAAAATATAAATTGTAAAAAGAAACAGTAATAAAGTTCTAAGGTATAAACTAATAAATATGCTACATACTAATAGTACAAAACAATATGCCGAACAACAGCAGCATGAACATGAGTCTATGTGAGTAGATGAATATAGATGAATACAGCTGTTTGAAATTATCAGCAGCATGAGATCAGCAGCATGGATAATCTGCAACACATTTCATCAATCAAAGTGGCATTACAGTGATTTATTTATTCATTTTTTCACAGTGACAATCCTGATTAGGAATTAATGAGTCTAACAGCCTCAGGGTAGAAGCTGTTCCTCAGTCTAGTGGTTCTACACTTGATGTTCTTCAACCTTCTCCCTGAGGGGAGTGAGGCAAAAAGTGTGTGTGCTGGGTGAGTGGGGTCCTTCATGATGCAGGTGGCCCTCTTCCTGCATCTGGAGATGTAAATGTCTGTGATGGTGGGGAGGCCGACTCCAACATCTTCTGTGCAGCCTTCACCACTCTCTGCAAAGCTTTTCTTTCTGCAGCTGTGCAGCCTCCATGCCATACATTGATGCTGGAGCACAGGGTGCTCTCCACTGCACACCTGTAGAAGGAGGTGAGGACTGAGCTTCCCTGACCAGCTCGTTTCAGGAATTAAGAGTCTGATGAGCTTTCTTGATCAGACTGGTGATGTTGTTGCTCCAGCTGAGGTTGTCATTCAGGTGCACACTCAAGTACTTGTAGCTGGAGACCACTTCCACCACAGATCCTCTTATGTTCAGGGGTGGGGTGTTTGTTACGTCTGAAATCACCACCCCTTTCGTCTTCTTCACATTGGTGTGAAGGTTGTTCTTCCTGCCCCACCTCTCCAGGTGTGCCACCTCCTGCCTGTAGCTGGACTCATCGTTGTTTGTGATGCATCCAACTGGTACCAGTGATTCGATTAAATTCAACTTAATTTAATTTAATTAAAAAAATACTTTATTAATCCCAAAGATAAATTTATTGTTGTTGTAGTTCATCTTGGTTTCGTTGGAGTTGTTCTAGATGCTGATGGCTTTGGGCAGGAAGGATCTCTTGTAGCAGTCCGTCCCACAGCAAATCCGAAGTGACTGGCTGCAGATGCCGATTCATACACCCAGATCCATCAGACCTCTCGGTCTTCTTGGGCAGCAAGACTGCATGAATGCCGGGCAGAACTCCTTCCCAAACGATTTCTCCCAGCAGCCTTCCGAGCCCTTTGTCACTGCAGACTTAACTGCAGGTGCCGGGGGACAATCTTGGTCCTCCCACTGTCATGAGTTGCATTTCCCACTACCTCCAATATCTCAGTGGTCAGGCACTCGAGCACCGCCTCAAGGTAGATGGCAATGCATCCATGCCACCTCCTTTTCAACTCATTTGGGATTTGGGGCTGTAGTTGAGGTATTATTTGAGCTCTTGAGATGTTAATCAGCAGCTCCCAGTTGTAGAAAACCACCGTGTTGTTATGGTTACGCATCATAACAAATGTCCAAAAGTAAAAAAAAGTTTCAGCCTTTCAGCAGAACATCATCTGATACCAGAGGAAGTAATCATCCGAAAAAAGCTATTTACATCCAGAAAAAAAGATTAATTAAAGTTTTGAAAAGCAAAATTTTAGAATGAATGTAAGAGAGCTACTCCAACATGCAGCCACTTTGAGCGTCGCAATTCTGGAACAATGCATCACTGGTATCTCATTTCAAAATGAACAGCTGAAATGAAAACTGATACTGGTGCTCTCAACTATTCTTGATGAACATATCATCTCAGGACAACCAGGCAAAAATGGACCACTGTCCTATTTCTCAGCTACCTTAATTTGTTTATTTATTTATTGAGGAAATGCCTACAGGTGCGGTTGACTTGTTCCAGAAGTGCTCTAATGCACAGCAGGAACTCACTTTCTGGCCCATGCATATTAAAGTATGAGATTAGATTTATATTTTCAAAATCTAGTTGACCATGGTGTTTAATCTTGTGCATTTTATTTCCAACTTCATTGAACCTCCATCCTGTTTACAATGTGCAAAACCTCCACTGTGCCATTGAAACTCAGCAGCTCACAGGATCAACGTGGTCTAAGCTTCCAGTTATAAACATATGAAATCGTCTTTAGAGGCTCTTAGCCTTATGTTTATGTTAGCCAACATGTTTTTAATGAGTCTCACCAAAAAAGTACAGTATGATTCAGTTAAACTAATGGTAAATAAACTGACACCTTTTTTTCAGGTTTGGTCTGTAGATTTTGATGTCTTAAAGACAAATGCATTGTTTTGGGACCTTTTGGAGGAACACCCATTCCACAGAAAGATGGTGAGCAAATCTGTATTCTCACCGGTTTAAAATATATTTATTTTTAAACTAGAATTTTATTAAAATTGGCTTTGTTTAATAAAAAAAATACCAACTTGAACTTTGAGGATAAAATAGTTAGCTATAAAATATAAAGGTTTAAGGCTCGTTGTTAATTAATACATGCGTGCATGTGTGTGTTTTATACAGACAGGACTGAGCATATAAATAATACGTTTTTAACTTTGTTTTGCATTCTACCGGACTACATGAAATGAGTAAACTGACATTTCAGATATGAAAAAGTAACATATCTTAAATGGAAAGCATACAGTCTAGCCAGCTGCAGTGCATGACACAGTTTTAAACAAAGATCTGTTAGTGCTCACATTATGTGTTTAGGGATGAGCATCACTTAATACCACTCATTTTAGTTCAATATCGGAAAAATTGCAATTTCTTTAAATAAACATTTTTGTGTTTACTAAGTATATTTGGTTGTGGCAACCATCTTTAATCAGGCTGACTTTAACAGTTAGTTATACATGTTCATATATTAATTACCTATCGTCTGAAAGATTTATTAAAATCTATCCAGTGGTTTGTGAAATATTTTGCCAACAGATGCAAGGCACATAATTTATGATGCTTGTAAATAACTATTAAAAAATATGATAAAATGTGCAATAGAAAACAGACAGCACTATTTACAGCAGGAATGACATATTCATTGTTCATAACGTTCTCATATAATTCCACTTCTATAGATATGAATTATCCTTTGAAGTGACTTTTTTGTGGTCTGAGCTTAAAGCCAGTGTGGGTTTTTTCTATCTCACAGCACTGCTACTTCAGAAACCCTATTAACACAACCAACTACTGAATGACCTATGAGGAACAGGCCCTGCTATAGTTCAATTCATCTTAAGCATCCCCAAGAGAGTGAGAAACCTTGAGCATAAATAGTATGTGAGTGTGTGCACACTTACTCTTAGTAAGGCAGAGGTCACTGACATTTATGTAAGTGTCTCTGAATGTGCGTGTACCAAACGGCAGGGAGAAGCACATCCGTCAATGTCATATTTTCCAACACACACACTGCATATTTCTTCCCTCCTCTTCTCATCCTATCTGGCCTATGTATTTCTTGTCTTGTTTGGGTTGTTAGGTGAACCTTTAGTTGCGAGTGAAACTTTGAGGGTCAGACCATTATCCACCAATGACATTAGCCTTGACCTCAGACAGATTTTAATTACCGCCACCTTTGTGTTTGTTGTAACTGTGCGAGCAAGTACCTGAGCGCCACGTTTCATAGATCATGATGAGACACGGGACAACATTCTGTGAATTAATCTGCTGTCAAAGTCAGGGGTCCTATAGCGCTGCCAAGTTATAGGAATATGATTTTTTTTTTGTACAAAATAATGACTTAAATGCTGCTAGTTATAAGCTTGGAAGATCCCTTTAAATACACCCTGGAGGGCTACTCTTTCAAGCAAAGACATCAGCATTTTAGTTTTTTTGGAACGGTCCAAAAAGTCTGCAAAAAAAAAAGCCCTCAAGCACTTTTAGATTTCACAGTGGGGGATCCATGGGTCCCCAAGGATGTATTTGTAACTTAATGCCAAATTCAATGAGACTATGAACATAGACATTAAAATAAGGCAGGCCTTTTAAGCTTTAAGTTTGCTCAGTTAAACTAAATTACAACAGTAAAATTAAAAATGACAGTAGAACTTGGTTTTTACTTTTCTACCA